CCCCAAAACCCCAAAACCCCAAAACCCCAAAACCCCAATTTTTATGTAATTATTAACAAATGGAAAGTCAAAATAATAACTTTTTGTACTCCTCCAAGAGCCCTGGCTACAAACTGACTGAGAGCATGCCCAAGGTGTATATCAAAGAGAAATCTGTCAGGAAATAAAAACTTTAAGAACTACCTCTGCCTTTCTAAGAGATTCCTTGCTTCGAAGGAAACGAGGGCGAGAGACAACATCATGGATAAATATTTTTCCAATAGTAAGCTAATTCGTCAGATTCTAATATTTATAAAATTTTGTAGCTAAAGAATCGATTCCGAGGAACTATTACTCCAAGATTGATGACATTGAGGAAGTAGATCTAGTACAAAAGAGCACTCCTAGAAAGTAAGAGTGGTATTTACCCAGAGCTACTCATTGTACCTAACTTGGATTTAGGCATTCGTTTCTCAACAAATCATTTGGTTATAAAAACAGCACTTCCCAGAATTTGTCAGTTGGGAAATCACAGAAACTGAGGTCCAGGAATAATGTGTCCCAGGTTGAAGGGGCTATATCTCGTGAGTCTAAAGAGGGAAGAGGGAATCTGAACCAAATTGCATTTCCAGCCCTTTCAAAACATTCAGTGGATTATACTTCCTCTCCTTCCAGAATTTTGAGACAGTGGCAATAGGTAAGATATCAACATTCAAATTTTTTTTGGGATTATTTTACTGAAAATTTTAATAAAATAGCCACAATTCTTACTCAAAGAAGAAGCCTGTTCTACAACGGCAACTTGGGATATAAAATTTCTAACCTTTCTATCTAGAAACTCTTTTTAAGGAAAACAATTCTATAAACTCTTTGAAGAGAAAATAAGTCACTTGCTGTTGTCAGATACTTACAAAAATCAGTTGATAGAAGGCCGTTGAAGTCAAATATAGCAGATGATTGGCTAGATGAATCAATGACACCGTCCCAAAACCCATCAGACGATATTAAAATCTCAAAGAGGGCTAGAAAAGAGAGAATACAGCTACGAAAAGGGTACGAAATAATCTCCTAATCTACTATTTTTCTTCATTTGGGCTGCTATGTTAGACACGAGATTAATCCGCACTCTCTTTTATCTGAACCTCTAAAAAGCTTATAGGAAATATATAAGAAGTAGGCCTAAAATTTACAACCTCAACATGTTCAGAAATGAACGAATCAAGCAGCTCAGTAGAGCTGAATGCTAAGTTAGACCATGAATAACTAATTCTAACCCAAAATTTCCTCCTAAATCCCTTCAAGAATATTGAATGTGGCACCAAAGTGAGGGAAATAGCCTAGGAATGAGGGGAATAGGTCCAAAATGGGATTTTTTAAAGTCGATGTAGAGATAGTTTTTATCTCTCAATTTGGTCACAAAGATCCGGGGTTTTGGGGTTTTGGGGTTTTGGGGTTTTGGGGTTTTGGGG